TGCTGCAATCCCAAACATACTGAACTACTCCTGAGCTCTTAAGAGATCTGGGTCTGCTTTAAGTTCAGTTAAAGTTCATCTGGCAGCTTCATCAGCTGCTCCTCTGGCAAGTGTTCTTCGTCTTTGTACCCACAGCAGAAAAAAAAAGTTGCTGAGACTCATCTAATAAAAAAATAACTAAAACAAAAGGGATGTGGAGAGGGCACTTCAGAAATTCCATTAAATCCATATCCTGCAAGGAATTTTTTCCTTCAGATTTAAACAATTTAGTACCTCATTATCTATTTGTTGGAAGACTGGTGGTCTCAAATCAGTCAAGAAACATAAAAGACCTTCCTGCATGTAGTGTTTCTGCAGGAGCAGGTACAGTTTCTGCATCTTCAAACTCCATCCAAATTAATTCTGAACTGGGCAAAGGGGACAGCATTTATCATCTTGTCTGTGTTCCCACCAGGAATATTCAAGTTCTGTAGCCTAAAGCATTAACTACCTCCTTTCACATTCATCTGCTTCCCAGACTTTCAGCATGTATAGCTTTAAGAACACTGGGGCAAAGTCCAGTCTTTAGATACTGTCCAAGAAGTGTAGCAAACAAATTTTTCTCTCCTTGACTGAGAAGTTCTATCCCTTGCAGAAGAGGAAGGAGTGCTGGAGAAGTAAGAACAAGAAGCATATTTACAAGTAGGTGTGAATTATCTGTCACAGGTAATTCTTACTCCTGCCCAGAAGGACTACAAGGTGTTAACCCCTTGTTAGCGTCATTGAATATCAACCCTGCAAAGTGTCCAGCAGGAAAGGACCTGGTGTTGCTGGTCAGCTGCGGCTGAACATGAGCTCAGGTGTACCCAGGTAGGAAAGAACACCAATGGCACCTGGGCTGTCACAGCCACGGTTTGGCAGCAGGACCAGGGCAGTGACTGTTCCCTGTGCTGGCACTGCTGAGACACCTTGAGTCCTCGGGGCAGCTTTGGGCCTGTCACTTCAGGGAGGGCACTGCAGGACTGGAGCATACCCAGAGAAGGGAAGGGAGCTGGGGAAAAGTCTGGAACACCAGGAACAGCTGAGAGAGCTGGAGAGGCTCAGCCTGGAGGAAAAGAGGCTCAGGGGGGACCTTCTGGCTCTCCACAACTTCCTGACAGGAGGGGGCAGCCAGGGATGACTGGGCTCTGCTCCCAGGGAACAAGGGACAGGATGAGAAGAAATGGCCTCAAACTGTGTCAGGCTGGGCATCAGGAGGAATTTCTTCACTGAAAGGGTGCTCAGGCATTGGCAGGGACAGCCCAGGGAGGTGGTGGAGTCCTCACCCCGAGAACTATCCAAGGAATGGCTGGATGTGGCACTCAGTGTTCTGGTCTGGGTGACAAGGTGGGGATCAGTCACAGGCTGGAGCTGATGGTTTTGGAGGCCTTTTCAACCTCAGCATCTGTGATCCTGTGAACCCCAACAACAGTCATCCAACTGTTGGCTTCTTCATGCAACTCCTCAGAACAGGTTCCCTTCTCCAAGTAGTACAAACTACACATTGCTCAAGACAGGTAAGTTGCAAGAAAGATTAATTTTAAGAATGTCTTTGATTACCACAGATGTGCTATGTAAGCAATTATGGGAAATAAAACTAGGCTATGGACTTCAACTCAAAGTAAATGGGAAGTAGGCAAGGAGGAAAACTGGGGACAAACATCTAACTGTAGCAATACCATGAAAGAAAGGACAAAAAATGTTAATGTTTTTTAAATGCAAGCATCAAAAAGAAAGGAGACTCTTACTACAGGGACAGCTGGCTTTTACGTGGGACTGGACAACCTCTGAATGCTGCATGTACGAATTCATTATTTTTCAACCTACCTGAAGTTTCAAACAGCTATTTCAGGACAGACATCCTAACTCACCTTCAAGGATTCTGGCCCATTGCCTTAGTGGTGTATCATGTACTCAAAATATTAACTTTTTCCATAGCTGGCTGGGACAAGTATTACAAACATAGAGGAATTCATCTAGTTTTCTAAAGCATCAAAAAAAGAGAAAAAGATGTATGGTGAAAACATGCAGTGGAGTTAACCCAATTAACCATGTATATAACCCCTGGGCAACTATTTTTAAAGTATTACTCCTAGCAGAGAGGATGCAAAGGAGTCTGGATTTATTTGAATAAATATTAGCAACAGTTTTCAGTCATACCGTTTTGTACAACATCACCTTTTTTTTGTTTTTGTTTCTTTGATCATGTCTTCTCCCTTAACCATCACACGGGTCACAGCAGTGGCCAAAGAACACAAACTTTTATTTCATTTCTCATTTTATCCATTTGAAATTGTACTACACTGAACTTTGTTACAAAAATTACCACACCACTCACTTACTAGCCTGAACAGCTACTAGTGAATTAAGAGTGCAAACCTGTCATAGATCAGGTTAAACGAATTTTTCAGTCTGCAGAAAGAAAATTCTATCTCATCTTTGTAAATACAGTAATGTTGGAACTTCAAGTTTATTTAGCCTACAATGATTTGTTCTGGGAATTTTCCACAGGAACATGATCTGAAACATCATTTAGTGCTGTTCACTCTTCGGTACAGCCTTACCTCCTCGTCCTTGTACTTCATTGCTAGGGAAGCAACATGCAGGTATTTTAAAAACCTTAAGAATTTACACAGGCACCAAGAGGGATCATCCAATCCAAGCAGCCATTCGAGACAGGAAACGATACACACCCAAATGAACAACCTGAAATGCTCCACTTAACACCTAATTATCAGCAAGAACAAAATACACATCCTACTCAAGCCCTGTGACCTGATTTCCTATATGAAACATGAGAAGAATCACGAAACAGAACTACAGATAATAAACACAGTACCATTTACTAATTTCATGGGTCTCTTTCATTTCAACAGTGCTATCTACGTCCAATTTAGCAATTTGCTTTGGTACAACTAATAATCCACAGTCAAATGTAACTGTCAACTTCTGAGGTAAACCCCGCAGAAGGAACCAGTGCTCTAGGCAGTACACTAACTTCCACTTAGAATAGTTCATCAGATCACTCAGCAAGGAAATAGCAACATTTGCTTGTCTACAATTTTTCTGATGTTGTACTAAAATACATGAGCCATGCTCATGGCAGAGGTTCCCCAAGGAGATCAGTGTTACTTAGAGCATCAAACGATCCACCTATCCTGGGTCAATACAGCAAATATTAGTTATAACTCAGATGCATTTACTGAATGGCTATGTAGAATAAGTCACAAAACAACTTCTACCAAAATCCTGTTAAAAACTGTCTTGTCAATGCCACCCTTATAGTCAATGTAAATAAGCAGAGATTTTACACGATCCTCTGGCTAGGAAAAAGTGTCTGAAGCAGATAATCAAATTACTGGGTTTTATCCCCCTTTGCTTTTTGCTCAATAGCATTCCCTCTCGTTCTTCAAACCCATGAGCAGAGAACAGCACACATATGTGACAGCCCAGCAAGGACAGGCCAGCAGCCACGAAGCCAAAGGGAAGACCTCAGGCCATGCCTGCATCCAACAATGAGCACATCCTGCTCCCTCTCCTGCAGGTGCTGGGCAGCCCCTCTGGGAAGTGGCATTCTTAAACCACACTTCCTGATGCTTTGAATGGGCTGAAGGTGGAAACCCACTTTCCCAGGACAGGCTTTTGAGGCCTCTACTGTCCAAGGCCCCAGGAGGGACAGTGACAGGCTGGACAGAAGCAACATTTTGGCTCTCATCACTTTTCCTTTTATCTTGCTGGTCTGCAAAGCAGTTCACAACTGTGGGGCAGGATGCTCTTGACCTTTCCCAGTTCTTCCTGTAACATGGCTTGAAAATCACTCCTGTGCACCATCAGCTCCTCCTCTTTAGGGCCACTGAGCAAGCCCTTTTTGCCACCCACAGAGCTTACAGGTCAGCTCCTCCCACACTGAAGGGGCTGAAGGGCTGTGCTGGCATCACTGACCCTCCCCTGGCAGCAGGATTCCAGCAACAAGTCTAGGAGTTAATCTGGCTTAAGCACAATACCCTCACGTGCCCACAGGGCTTCATTTTGAGCCAAACACAGCAGAAAAAGGAAACCCAGTCTGGACTTCATTGCTTCCTCACAGTTTCATAAAGCTGTTTGAGGGTAAGTTACTGTATGACAGCTGTTTCACCTGCTTTCACAGAGCGACAGAAAAGCAGCAGCAGAAATCCAGTAATTAACCTCACCTGAGGAACAGGAGTGAAAAGAAATAACAGACACACAAGAAAACAAACATGCTTTACTGTCTGCAACCACAGACAGTCACAACTGGAGTCCAATGTATAAAGCTCCACTTGCACACACCGGGAAAAAAGATTGTAAGGAGAAAAACTGAAACCCCTTAATATCCAGTGAAATGGATATTAATTCATTAAATCCTTAATATCTAGTGAAATGAGTAGCAATAACCACCACTAGGGAGGAAAGGTAACAACATAAGTCACATTTTTTCTTTACTGCATTGACAGAAAAAACTCATCTGCTAAGGAAATGTGAACACTACTCAAATCAGTACTTAATTCTTGGCAGATACCATCCTGACTAGCCAGCAACCATGGTACTCGAACGAAAATTAAAAATAATTTTTAAAAAGTCATAGCCAAAACTTGCTTCCTGGAATAAGATAAATTATTTCAAGTATCAGCGAATAAAAAGACAGTAAAACAGCAGAATGTATTTTGAATTCAGGTACTACATGAACTTTTCCTTTTATAAAACCAAATATCCTGCTTCATATTGAAGTTTCCACATATCTTTCCTTCAGGAATCTATAAGGAACAGATCAATGAAAATACAGCTGAACTAGACTTGAGGTTGAGATCTTTTTCAAGCAGTCTAGGAGAGGGCCAATTCTTAACTGCAATTCAAGAAAGAATTAAGTTTATTTATACAACAAATGCATCAGTAAAGTGACATCATACCACCCGTGTAAAAAAATATAGTGCAGGCTACACATTGAGCAAAATCCCCAGCCTTACCAGTCAGTAACAATTCTTCTTTGATTTGTATTCCATGAAGCAACTTCATCAAATGGACAGATGTAGAGATGAGACCCAAGTTCCTATTATTAAATTGGGAAAAAAACACAATAATTTACTTGATATGAAATACACTCAAAAAATTAAAAGGCTTTTCACCGAAGTTAACAGGAAATCTTTAGCATCTTCAGGACCTCTGAAACAAAAATAGTTTCTTCTACATTACTGCCTGCCTATCAGTAGCCACATTACCACCATCAGAAGCAAATCAAAGACGTTTATTTCATCATCCTGCATTTTACCAATTTTAGGCACAGAACCTTCAGAGCTAAGTACCTTTTCCTCCCTTTTTGCTATTCTTCCTATCAGATATTAAACATGAGCAAGTTATTCATATAATTTAAACCACTTTGTGTAAAAACTTCGCTTTGTCTGGAGGTCAAGCATCCAGAATAAGAGTCAGGTATCTTACTCTGTAATAAACTTGGAGGATTTTCAATGCCAACAAAGCAATTAGTGACAGCTACCAAAAAACAACAGGGCCAGCTCAAAGGGAAACATACACAACTCTCAGAGAGAAGCACAGAAGGCCAAGTAATCATTTATCCTTTCTCCAGTGAGGAGGAATCATAGGTAGACTCTCAGAATGATTTGCATTGCAATTTCTCTGGCATTGACAGAATTCTGCCCCAGCACAGAAACGAAGACCTGGTCCCATGTCAAAATTACATTTAGTCCAATAAATCAAATCTGAAAAGTCTCAATAAGCCTATTTTTAAGACTGTAGTCCCTAATAATTCTTTGATATAACCAACTTGCGACAAGTTTGGGGGGTTTTTTTGTTGGTTGGTTGGTTTGGGGTTCTTGTGGGGCATCTGGGCAAGGAGGGTGCTTGTTGCTATTTTTGGGTTTTTTAAAAGCATCCAGACTATCAGGTAACTGCACCTGGTTGTAGCACAAGCATCTCTCAATGTTGCAACAGACACAGGCGAATAATACAGAGGCTAAGTAACTTAAGGAGCCAGACTGACTTAATATCCTTTAAGCTCAGCTTGCCTGTATTTATGTATCAGGATTAATATGCACAGTTCTACATGCTGTGTTTTGCTAGGAAAGCTGGACAGATCTAAATGAACATTAAAAGACGTATTAATCTTGTAACTGATTATTAAGATAATTTACTTACTCATTATGTCATTAAAAAAATTAAAGAAAGAGAAAAAAAGGATAGTTCTACAGTAAGGCTTCCAACAGGCTTATATCATTTGTGTAATTCAGCTTTTATTATGGACCCAAACACTTTGTTCTATTACTGAGCAGGGCCCCAAACTGACTTACAAATAGGTCAGCTATTTTTGTCTCTTGCATATTTGAATTCAAGTGATTGCACCAAGCAGGAAATGCCAGTTAATAAATCAACTAACACAGCAGTGAAAAATAAGAATCTCTTTTATAAAACCACACAAACATCAGAAGGCCATACTTGGGTATGGGCTAAAAGGGATCATAACTGTACCTCATGGCATATTGATTCTTGGCACACTCAACACAGGCATTCCTCAGACATCTGAAGCATTCTGCTATGAGCAGCAGGCAGGTGTCCAGATCTGCCAGCCCACAGGAGTCCTTACAGGTCTGCTCAATGGCACTTGAGGTGCTTGTCAGGATTTCCAGGACATCCCGAAATACACTTTCTTCTGCTGTTTGTGGTAAAGAAAAAATATAAATGCACTCCTACCAAAAAGCCTATGACACTGACACTTCTTATTGTAAACCTAAAGATGTTTCTGCAGCAATCTTTAGCTATTCAGAATATTTAACTACTCTTAGTCTTTCAAGTAGAAAGAACAAAACCCTTCCCATCAGCCTTTACAGTAAAGGGGCTGTAGGAGAGTTGTGTTACTTTAGTATTCCTTGTGACTTTTCAACAGCTTTTTTGGAATTTTACTAAAAAGGAAAAAAAAATTCTCCCTAATACATATAGCTGGCAGATTTATACATGACACTGCATGCTACTTTAAAAGGAATTGCTTTAGTTAATGAACACAGTTTACATGTCTAGCATTAGATGTTTCAGAAAAATAAAGTATCAGATTTCCTCAGAGGAACAAAGGTCATGGAGAAAGCTGGTGGCTGAACAAGCACCATTCTGAAGTGTGTGAATCACAGTAAAGGGAAAAAGCCAACTGTGTCCCACCTTAGCAGACAACTACCCAACAAAGAAGGTACCAGGCCACTTCCTGGAGTACCCAGACCAAGGAAAACAGCACTACCAAACCATAAGCATATGCAGAAATCCATATGACTGGATGACAGCTGATGCTGATGCTCCAGGAAGATTCACCAGGCTCCCAGGATGGACACACACATCTACAGATGATCTGTCACACAGAGATAAACATTTCCTAACTACAGCTATTCATTTACACTATGCTCGGACTTTATGTCCACAAAAGAGATGAGGGCAACACATGACAAACGTTGCTAACTCAGTTCTGATACCACATGCTGGTGGAGAGAAGCCACACCAGAGAGTGTTTATGGCATTGCTACAGGGAAATTCAATAAATTTGCTCATCCAATTCTTCTGACCAGGATCAGGCAAAGGAAATCCAGATGCAGCCTCCTTGAACTTTAAATAGACTCGTCATATATTCAGGATCAAACAGAAGAAAGTGAGATGAGAGGAAATGTAAAGTAGCATTAAATAAAATGTTCACATAGAAAACTCTTCATAAAGGAGAATTAAAAAACCTCTTGATCAAAAACTACTGGGTGATACAGTATTACCTGCATTCTGCTTCTCACTCAAATGCCTACACATTTGCACAATTAAAAGTTTTTTGTAAGTAACCATGTCCATAAATCAAACCATAGAATCACCAGGATTGGAAAAGATCTTGAAGATCATCAAGGTTAACATTAACCAAACACTGCCAATCCACCATGTCCCTAAGCACACCCTTAGATACGTCTGGAGATATTATTTCCCACCTCTACTCCTGCCACCTTTTCTTTCCTAGACTAAACAAAACTCTCTTAGTCTTTACTCACAGTTCACATTTTCTAAGTCCCTTATCAGATTTGTTGCTCCAATTGTGACACTTTTATGCTAGGCTTCATCTTACTGACAGTACAGTGCCTCCAATATTGAGGTCAGTTAAGGTGTAGAAGAGACTTACAAAGAAAGGGCAGTGCTGTAAGAAATACAAAAACATAAACTAATATCACTAAATTACCACAACATTTCAGATCTCCAGGAAATATGTATTTTTATTCTGCAACCTCACAGTTGACCAAGATCAATATATTTACACATTCTCCATGTACAGTGAAACATTAAAAAACCCACCACTGCGTCACTGAGAATTATGGGGGAGAAGCTGCATTTTACAGTGGTGCAATACTGAAGGAAAAATACCAAAGTGGCACAAAAAACAAAGAATAAAAGCAAACTGAAGCTTACATAACCAGAAAGAAAGTTTGGAATTTGGTTTTGGTTTCAAGACTGAAGAAAATATATTCATGGAACTTGAACCTTCAACTTAAAAGAAGCAGTGCAGCTCCTGCCACTTCATGATGTGCCAAGAGAAGACTCAGTGGCTGATGTACCACAGTCCCCATGGGATATGCACCAGGGGCAAGTTTTTCTAAATGTTAGAAGAGCTATGGTCTGGTAAGGTAGCCCCCAGCCAGGGAGTGTTTTCTACATTAAGTAGAACTATTAGCAGTTCTAATTTCTTAAACTCTGACATTACTCTGAAATGGGACCACTCAGCCCACTGTAGTTTCCTTCATATCAGCCTATGCTGTTTGCTGGATTATTCCATGAAACCAGTCATTTCCTGACCCAACTGCAAAATACAGAAAACAGTGGTCAGTCAAGACATACTACTGTACAGCATTCATTTATTTAAATCGGTAAAAGAGAAATGAAAGAAGCCAGAAAACTTTTGTGCACATTTTTGTGACTCCATGGGTAAAAGGACACCTTACAGTTATTCTTGTGCTAGAAAAGCTCCACTCTCCTGGCAGAGCTATGCAGCAGAACAGAACTTTTAGTCACACACTGGATCAGAAGCATGCTGAGCTGCAACAATTTTTCTTTTAAAATTAGATTGAAAGTAAAACAAAAAAGCAAACCTAAGAGTGCAGGCATTTTCAGTAAAATACGAAGATGGAAACCTTGTGTGTCCTAATGGAGCATGTGTGGGGTACAAAAGGAAGTGTCTCTCCTCACTGTAAATGTGGAAGGAGATGTTGAATTTTTTACATCATAGAGGAGAGACAGAACTCCAAATCCACTTCTTGAACACTATGAAAGAAAATCCAGATTGCTCAAGCCAGACCATTCCAGGCAGAAATCAAATCTCAAAGCCTAAGTGAGCAAGCAAAAGGTATTCCAAATGAAGACAGACTGACTGAAATGTTGTTTGATAAAGCAGAATTCTGTTCTGAGAAAATTTATATTGAGTCTTGTACCTAAGCATTCAAATAGCACTGCAATTTGAGTGTGTACTACAAAGGAATTTTAATGACAACTGTCCTTCTGAATAAAAAATCCTCAAATTATCAAGAACAGCAGAAAATATTTAGCTGATATTAAGAAACCAGCCAAGACTGACTTCAGGAAACTGTTCCACAGCAATGCTTACTAACAGGTTTTTTTTAAAAAATCATTTTCCAGCAGTTAAACAAATATTCACATACAAAGCAGCAGCTATAAATATTAAAAACGAATTTTTGAAATGGAAAATATTTTCCTTCCATATTTTTTCCCTGATTTTTAATTTACAGAACTACCAAAGAGCTTCCTAAGTGGATTTTAGATTAAAATAATACCTTGCATTGTAAACATGCCTTGAAATCCATCCAGAACTGTTTTGTGGATATTCCACAAACTCTGTTTCCTGGGTCTGGCGGCTTAACATAGCAGCTCCACAATTTGCTACTGCTACCTGTCCTTCATCTCCACATCAAGTTCTGAAGAAATACAAAAGGGAATAGAGGCAAAGGGTACAGCAGCCCAGCTCCTGGCAAGGAAGACATGCACAATTTCTTGTTAAGTCAAAACAAAGAGTCAGAATTCCTGTACCCATGCCAAAAGGAAGAATACTGTCACTCCTTGTAAGACCTGTTTGATTGTTAAAAGCAGAAACTACAGGATACCACTCCAGTGAACACAGAGTTAAAAACAGTAGTGAAACTGTGTTCCAAACCCCAGGGTCCAAAAAACCACAAAACTAGTTAGGAACTACGTGAACAAATCCACAAATTTACAATTTTCTATTTCCACTCTAAGTTTTAGGTACTTGCACAACTCCATTCCTGTAAGCAGAATCCCTAAAAAGCCTTTAAAGTACTTATCCTCACAACATTCCCAGGAACAAAATACAGCCATGTTCTTGTTTTTGTAGCTTAGTAAAGAGAACATAAAGAAATCACCTAAAAGTACTGGAAGCCTCAAGTAAATCACATAGCCAAAGGCAGGTCTCCCAAATTCCACATCATGGTCTCATAGTAGGGGCACTTTTGCCTCCCTTTATTTCCTTCTGAGTTACAGAATACCAGAACTCACATTTTTGATGCATTTTGTTTCCACAAACACTGAACAGTCCTGTAATAACAAAAGAGTTGTCACTAAATATCAAATCTTCAAACACAAAACATCTATTGGATTGTATCCTCGTGATCCAACAACAGGATTTGCCAGAGCTGGCAAATTTTCTGCCAGAGCTGCTCCTAGATCCATTCTGCCACATCCTATGGGAAGTAAGGTAATGTTACATCTTTGTCCTTCTGGAAGGGCAACTACAGTGTCTCTCTTTCAGCCCACCTGTACCCACAAAGCTTGGCTGTTTTGGGGAATATCTACTCTTATTTCAAAGACAGTGGCAGAGGTTTCAGGAGCAAGACAGAGAAAGCATCAGCCCACAAGCCCAAAATTTATACAGGTCCTCCCTTCTTTCGAGAGAAACTGAGATGAATACTAGAACAAGGTCTCCTAGGTCTCCTGCACCCATGCAGATCACAAAAAAATATTTATGAGCACATCTTCCCCCCTCACCCCCTGGCTTTTAAATGTGGATTTGGGGAGAAAAAAACCAAACAAACAACAAAAAAAAACGTACTGGGAATTGAAACAAAATCAAAACAAAACACCAGCAGGATTTTACACCAATCTTAAGTTGGTTTCTTCATTCTCAGGTGTTGTCACGACCTTCAAACTGCTCCTAGGAGTGAGCACAAGCTTCCCACTGGCTGTGCCTTCTCCCTCCTTCCAGGAAGAGCAAAACCCATTTGTCTAACCCCAGTCTCCCAGCTGAACCTCTGCAAGCCCAGCTTCTGCCAAAGCCAACAGTGCTGTGTGGTATTTCAGAGGTCTCCCTGACCTTACAGGCACTGTTCCATAGCAGCCCCATTCTGTCTTTACTCATCTTAAACCTGCCGAAGGGCATCCAACCCTTCCTCCCATGAAGCCAGTGCAGCCCCCCCTTCCACACAGTGCACGCCCTCTGTCCCTAAGGCCCACAGTCACCAGCGTCATCCAAAGCTTTGGTCCCACATGGGAACGAGACTGTCACCCAGCAGGGCCTCACACAGGCACATCTCACCCACTTCTGCTCCTCCCACAGCTACACCCCACTTAAGGTGCTTGCCCAGAAAGGCACTAAAGCCCCAGAAGTGGCGCATGGAAATCCCATGAGGTTCCACAAGACCAAGTGTTGATGCAGCACCTGGGTCAGGAAAACCCTCCGGAGATCAATCCAGGCTGGGATGAGCAGGTGGAGCAGCCCTGGGAGAAGGACCTGGAGATGCTGGAGGATGAGAACTGGACATGCCCTGGCCATGTGCACTGGGACCCTGAACCCCCCTGTGCTGGGCTGAGCCCCCAGCGTGGGCAGCAGGGGAGGGGGTTCTGCTCCTCTGCCCTGCTCAGGTGAGACCCCACCTGTAGAGCTGCCTCCAGCCCTGGGATCCCAGCACAGGAAGGACATGCAGCTCTAGGAGAGAATTCAAAGGAGGAACTGAGTTGTTTAGACAGATGGAGCAGCTCTGCTGTTAAGCAAGGCTGAGAGACTTGGGAATGCTCAGCCTGGAGAAGAGCAGCTCTGGGCTGACCTAAATGATGCTTTCCAGTACCTGAAAGGAGCCTACAAGAAGATGGAGATTATTTACATGGGCCTGAAGTGACAGAATAAGGGGAAATGGCTTCATCCTGATGGAGTAAGTTTAGATCGGCTGTTAGGACGAAATTTTTCCCTGTGAGGCTGGGGAGGCCCTGGCACAGGCTGCCCAGAAACGCTGTGCCTGCTCCATCCCTGGAAATGTCCATGTCCAATGATGAGGCTTGGAGCAACCTGGGATAGTGGAAGGTGCCCTTGCCCATAGCGAGGGTGGGATGGGATGAGCTTTAACGTCCCTCCAACCCAAGCCACTCTGTATCTCCGGGATATTTTATGACACCCACGGCTAAGAGACAAACACCTTTCCTCCGTGCTACAGGCACATGGACTGAGCACACTGCAGCTTCTCACGGACCCCCCAGGGCAGGACAGGAGAAGGGACAGATCCCCCCCCGACACGCACAACCCCAGGAGAAGCTGGGGGTGCAGAACCTCTCCAGAAAGGACCTGATCCACACCCCTACGTGGGTACTGAGCGCCCTTTTTCCGGCCCGCAGCCGACTCCACGAGGGGCAGGACCGCGCCGGGAGCCGAGGCGAGTCCTGCCCGACATCCGCCGGCACCGCCGCTCCCTGCTCCCCGCTACCTGGGCTGCGCCTCCCGGAACAGAGCCGCCAGCGCCCGCAGGCTCTCCAGGCGGGCCGCGGGCAGCGCTCCCGCCGCCGCCGCCATGGCCCGGCCCCGCTCCGCCCCCGCCGCGCGGAAATGGCGGCGGTGCCGCCCCGCGGGCGGGACGGGCTGCGCGGCGCCGCCCCGACATGGCCGCTCTGCCTCACGGACGGATTGCCTTTCCGTGGCTTTTTCCTCTCCGGTCCCTCGCCTCTCCCTTGTTTTTCTCTTCCTCCGCCTCCTTTTCCCCGTAGGAAGCTCACCTCGGCGCCGGTTCCCGTGACGCCGCCGCCGCTGCTGCTACTGCGCGCCCCGCAACTCTCCGTGTGTACTCTGGGAGATACTTGTCTCTAAACAAAATAAATGTTAAATGAATATAAAAATACATAAACTGCGGGAATAATTATTTCATGCTTAATACCCTAATGATCTCCCAGGCTGTGGCAGGGGTGTCGAACTAGAGGATTGCTAAGGTCCTTCCCTCTCCAAGCCTTCCTGTGATACTGTGAAGTTAACAGTACTTTGCTTCGGGTTTAAAAATATTTTTTAAACTAAACGTTACATTTTTAATATTTTTTTTAAATACCGCCCAGCATTTTCTAAACACGTTTGAAAACTAATCTGTATGTGGGTGGGTGGGAAATTAGCTTCCAGTGGATAAAAAGACTAATTGTGGCCAAACACTATAGAAAACTTTATTAGACAATTGTCATCAAATCACAGACTGGCTTGGGTTGGAAGGGACCTTAAAGCCCATCCAGTCCCAGCCTCTGCCTTGGGCAGGGACACCTCCCACTGTCCCGGGCTGATCCCAGTCCCATCCAGCCTGGCCTGGAGCACCTCCAGGGATCCAGGGGCAGCCACAGCTCCTTTGGGCACCTTCACAGGGAGGAAAGACACTTAGAGTTCAACATCCAGCCAATTCTTACATAGATTATAAAATTTAGTATTTTTTTCCAGATTACTTACAGATTTTGTATCTTAAGCTCATCTGATCTACCGAATTCTGTGAACAACAGGCAGATCCCTTAAAGATGCAGCTTTTCCCCCAGAGAGTTTATGATCTAAATAACATTTGTCTTAGCACAGCTTTAGGGAACTACAGGAAGAGAAACAATCCGCCTAGAGCCAACTACAGCAGAAAATAAAATTATGTAGAACTTACTTTTAAGAATTCTCCATCAAATTAAGAGGTAGGCTATACTCTTGAGGCAACAGTCCTTGAAGCTGGAAACACAGAAGGACCTGTCTTAGCTAAGACTCTGGAAGACAATTGCCCCACTCCAGCAAACACTGGTTCTGCAGGAGGCAAAGCAGGTCAAAGACATTGAA